ATCTTGACTTACTTATATAAAATGTTGAAGGATAATAGGTTTCTTAATATTAGCACTTCAAAAACAAGTTTTAATATATACTCTTCAAAAAAAAAAGAAACGCATAGTAGGAACAATTCCCTGAAAATTTTTGATAGTTTTGTCATACCTTTTATTTTTGTATGAATACGATGCATTCGAGTGAAATGAATGATGTTTTAATGCAATTGTTAACTTTACAGCTATTCTACAAGTCTCACAGACAAAAAGACCTGATTTTGCAAAATTTTCCCTAAAATTTTGATCTCAATTTTCATTTGTTGAATTACGATGCAATTCCTTCAGGTACAAAGGGGCTATCAAAAGCCGGGGTGCCCGATATTTTGAATCTGGTTTTATCTGAAAAAATGACGCTTCCTTAAATTCGCTGCATCTGAATGTTGCGTGGCACAAAAAGGAAAATGGGCGACTGGAAGCAGGCGTACCACAATCTACAGTTGCAAGAGGTTTTAATGTTACACATAGACCATATCTAACCTATAAAACATAAACCATTAACATCGAACACCCAATGATCGCAAAAAATATGGTAGACTACGTGTGACATCAGCAGCACAGCATCACTTCCGAGGATTATGCAAATTGCATGAATGTAATGCAAGGACGTCATCATTAGCTATCCCTGAACTGCACAGATCATCTAACAAGACCGTTTTCAGTTGACTACGAATTATTGCAAAAGGATTATTCATGCCGTTGTTCCGACCCCACAACACCCCAAATATAGACTTCAAAGATCTCAGATGAATAGAGTATGACCACAGCATCACTGCTAAACATTTTGTTTAACCTACTAGTCCATAATGTTTATCTGAAAGCCTCTTATAAGTTTAAGAATGGTAATGCTTTTTAATGAAGGTTAGATAGATTACTGCCTGCAGGACGTTAAAAAAGTTGGTGGTGGTAGTGTAATGATATGGAAAATGGTATTATAAGAAAGTAAGATTGACTTGGTTCGAATTCTATGGACTTTGATAGAAAAAGGTACTCAAACCATATTCTGCCTCCACACACGCATTCAATTTTGCAGCATCCTAGAGCCGTATTGCAATCTCACAATACACAGCCACATATGGCTCGTTTGACACACCTATTCTTGCAAAAAAAAAACAAAAAAACAAAACAACAACCTGTTTCAGTCACAGTCATCTAAATCGATAGATTTAATCCAAATTAAGCAGCATTGGACAAAATGGATTTACATGATTTGCAAAAGACAATCGCATCCCAAGACTCTGCAACAGCTGACTTAAGTTCTACATTTGGAGTGGGAGAGTATTCCTTTGCAGTTTTTATTACACACATTTGCTTCCATTAGATGCCGTTTGTGGCTATCATTTGTGTCTGCGGGGGGCATACCAGATATTGATCTTTAATTGTCTTAAACTGACTATAATTTTAAAATTGTTGATTAATTATGTCATTTAGATAGTATTCCTGTTGCTTGCCACATTTCTGTTTTATCAATGCATCATTTTACTAAATAATCTTTATGTTCAATGTGTCACTCAAATTCCACGATGCGTTTCTTTTTTTGAAGAGTATACTAGTCTAGTAACTTGTTGAAAATTAAAGGATATATTTAAAAACAAAGGTATATATTGGTGTTAAATTGTAAATTAAAACTGTCGAAAAAATGCAATACAATTTAATTCAAATCACTGCATCTTTCATTGAAACTCAATCCATAAGAAAATATAAAATCGCAAACAGAATAAAGCTTTTGCAAAAGAGTGAAGAGAAGAAAACAGGGATGGGTGTCTTTGGCATAAGTAATTTAGAAACAATACCGAAACACAAGATACATGTATAGGTAAATAATAAAGGAACAATGTATAAATTTAGAGTTTAAAAGGAAACAATAAAAAGAAATATAATGTCATCAATATTTCTTAAGTCAGTATAATAATTTTCCATTGGGGTTCCTATTACTATTTTTCTTTTTTTTTCGAAATCAGAAGTCAATGTCTGTTCAAAAATTTTATTATACGTATAAAATTGGCATGACTGTGATCACAAAAGGCCCTTAACCAAAACTGTGAAAGTCAGAGCACTGAAGTCAAGGTTTCTGGTGCCAGAGCAGTGCTATGTAGATCATATGATGATATTGCATGATTTCTTCATTAATAGTACAATTCTTAGTTAACCTTGGACTTTCTGTTAGAAATGGCATTCTCGACATTACACAATTGGCATCTGAAATTTACACAGCTTTATACACTGTTGAAATATACATGGGGTAGCTCATAGAATTCGGCGAATGTCAACAAGTGAAGCAATTATCTGATACATCGTCTCGTACAGCAGAAGGAGTTGGATTTAAGACATCATTGACAACAGCAATTTAAAGTTCCTGATATTATAGATTTCTAAAACAGTGAGAATCTATGCCATCTTACAGCCGCTTATTACATAGAGCCGAGAATGCCACGCCTTACTGAAAGTTCAAGGTTTACTTATAATTGTATTATTTTCTGTTCCTGGATATTATGCATACAAATTAAACAATCTGATTTAAATCAGCTGTTCTGATACGCTACCGCTTACGAACGTAAGCGATAGCGTATCAGAACAGCTGATTTTAATCAGATTGACAAATTAAATTAAAAGGGCAGGGGTGCTTCTTCTACAATTGTAGATTTCATGGCAACTGTATCAGAAATTTTGATTTATTAACTAAAGGATCTCTATTGTTTATATAATGAAAACGATTAATCCGTTAAAGATAAACTTATCTGTGATAGACAAACGTGTTTTTTCTAAAATTGTGAATGATGTGTATGACTCCTGGGTCAGAAGCTTTGGTTTTATGTGAAAGTAAAAGTGAAAGTATTTTATTTTTCAAAATTCTTACCTCTGCGTCTGAAAGAAGAAGGTATGGTTTCCATACAAATTTTGCCCTGTGATTTTCTAAAAAATGAAACTGGTTTAAAGTTTAAAAACTCATGCTTTTTAAATAATTGAAATTCAATGCAGAAAAATCATACAAGTCATTTTTCCCATATGTGTTTTTCAGTGCTAATTATGACGTCATAAACATGTGCATTTTCCCGTATTTTCTTAAAAAGTTGCAGAAGACACCAATTTTCAATGGAATTTTCTTTCAGATAACATTGTCCACAGGCATCGCCCACAAAGATCTTGAGATATGTGATTTGTTACTGAATTTTACACAAAATATCAAAAAATTAACGTGGGCGATGGCTGTGGACACTGTTTTCTAAAGGAAAATCACCCTTGAAATGTACCATTTTGAGGCTTTTCTGTTAAAAATTGAGAAATGCTTCAAGTTAATGACGTCATATTTGCAGAATGGTAAACTCATGCCATATTCTTTCCTGGTTTATCAGAGTCATTTATTTAACTAATATTTAAGCCAGTTTCAAAACTCTTTGATGTCATTACATTTTTAGGGCGCAATAAAGCTGAAACCATACCTTCTTCTTTAGCAAAGTCCATATAAAGTTATAAGCAAAATTAGGAGTTTCATTGAAAGTGGCCGAGGGTCTCTTGATAGTTCTTGGGTTCTACTTATCATAAAGTGAAAGTGATTAATTCTGGGTATTTAGCAGACACACTAAATGCATAGTTAGGATATATTATGGTGTCATCATTATTCATGAAAACCAATTTCGTTTCGGTCCAAAAAATCAAATTAATTCTTATCGAAGGTTTGTGCAACAATTTTTGATTGTACATATAAGAGAATAAATCATTGTGATTGCCCCTTAAGAGTTATGTTGAACCTTTAAAAGGGTATCATGACTGTTCGGAGATCTACAAACAAGGGAGTATGGATGCCACTGTCAAATCAGAAACAATATGTGTATGTGAAACTTTTGTCCGTATACGCTCCCTCAAAGATAAAATTAAAATTGAATTATTTTAAAATAATTGCACATCGTTTATCCCGAAACATTGATTAAAAAAAACTTGATTTACTTCACGAAATTATTTTTGAATATACCAAATTAAATTTGCCAATCAAGACCATAGTCCAATTGACATTCTTGGCCTTCCAAATTACTGTAGTCGTAGAATGGAGACGGTATTTCAATTTCCCCATTCTTTATTTTTATTTCACGAATACTTCGTTCAAAATACTTGATGACTCCGACTGCACATAACACATTACTACGAATTGGTCACACTTTAGTAAACATTGTAGTTACATGTATTCATAAGGTTTGACATAAATATGCCTTATTTTTATTAACTAACATATTCATATTTTAAATCAAGGAACAAATCTTTTCAACTTCTCCTTAAATCATCAAAACCCTGTTAATTCATATTGAGAGGCGTCCTCAGGTAGTGAGGATTCAAGTTTTTTTTATAAGTCACATCCCCCCACGATAGGTTGGCACAATAATGACAACAAAAGTTTAAAATAGGAATGTATTTATGGGGAAAAAAATTAAAATCTTTCTCGAGAACAGCAAAACTCTAACAACAACAAAACAGCATACCAATGTGTAGAAAGATGCTACAATGGGGGATCAAGTTTAGTACGGAATACACTGCATCTTTATTGTTAACAAACTGATACATCTACGGTTTTTCCATTAGCCCAATCATGACACGGAGAACTTTGGTTGTGAGAACGATTGCAGAATATGCTCTTCTCCATGTTGCTTTCCGATGTCCCTGTTTGCTTGTTTCCCGCTTCATATTGTTTCTATGGACTAAGCTAGATAACAATTCGTTATTTTCATATCATAGCCGTAATTCTCTACTCCTTTATCAATATAGTTGTGGTTACTTTATTAAATGTTCCTTTTAACCCACCGTTGCAAATACATATAGTTTCCTATAGAATAACAGTACATATTGATTTTAGGTATTATTTCATCTGGAAGTATAACTATGTAATCTTTATGCAAACAATGCCTGTAGATAAAATATCTTATCAACCGTCCAACTTCTGATTGCCTTCATTAGGGGCATTTCTTACTACAAGTACACGTAATATTATAGAAACACAATAATCTGAACAATAAGATAAACGATTTTGCAGTTGAAATATTAAAAATAAATATTTGGATAACACTTTACACTGGTAGACTCTAAATTCTATATGATGGATACTCTGGTTGTTGTATCCGTGGCTCTTGCTGCGGGCTTCTTCTATTTGCAGTTGGAGAGACGGATGCATGAGATTCAACTGGAGTACAGACAAGAGGTGAACACTATGAAACTTAAGCACGGCAGTGAAATCCACGACATGCAGTTGAAGTTGCTTGATTTCTACAAAATAGAAGCAAATCGAAAACTGTCGGATCTTCAAAGGACTCTTGAAGGAAAGATAAAATTGTTGGATGAAACTTTGTCAAATTGTAGTAAGGATATTTTGACCCGCTTAGGTACGTTCATATTTGAATTGTTTCCCGTCTTATGAGAAACCTTCGTAAGAAAATCAATCAAAAAATGGTGAAATATAAAATTGTTTTGGTGACGTTAACATCGACAAATATAGATAACGAACGGTATTCAAACTTGGAAGTCCATTCAAGCAATCCCAATCAAAAGCAGATCAAACTCTGACCTCTAAAACATCACACGATAATCTAATTTTAGTAGTAACACGTCATTTGAGAGGACTAAAGATTTACTTTATATCTTATAACATAAGTTGCCTACGTTGCAATGAGTTATGCCAAAAAAAAACGTATTAGTCCGCTTGATATATCTTTAAAAATATGCTCAATTTGAAGCTAGTTTTGCAGAAATATTGCCTTAATTGTACACTGAAATTAAATTATATGGAAAGATCATTTTATCTAATTTATAGCATAACTTTAATAAAGCATTTTTAAAGAGTAAACTGTCCCTAGTAATGTTATATCGTAAAACAGAGGTTAAATAAGCTTCATTTTAAAAAGGGACCAGGTGCCACGGAGAAGTGCGCATCCCATTCCGACCAGTCACACCCTACATGTGCTGCTTGTCATGATCTGGAAGAAGAGAAGAAAAATAAAAGACGGATTAGTGTGTTGATAATGATCTAACGATTAAAATTTAAAAAAACGTAATTAAGGTTCATCGATACTCTGCTAAGAGAGATAACTCTTAATGACATAAATGTTTATTATTTCTTTATAGGTTTTACCAGTTGAAGTCCTTTTTTGTCCAATTTTGCCTCTAAGCTATACTATAGTTGTTTGTATTTTACTCATAAAATATATTCCTTTTGGAAAATCATCATGGTTCAAGCAACATTTTATATGAGTGAGCAGAGGGTTTATGAACCTTAAGCATCATTTGAGGCGATGAATGAATAATTTAGCGCATTTACTTTTACAGAGATTGTAGAGAGAAATATAGGAACACCAACTGCATTCTACTCCAGATTGAGTCAAGATTATCAGAATTCACAACCAGGAACAATTTTGAAATTTGATGACGCCATATTAAACATAGGAAATAGATACAACTCTCTCAATGGCAAATTTCTTGCAGCAGAACACGGAATGTATTTTTTCACATGGAGTTGTCTTACAAAAACTGGAGGTAATATTTATATTGGGGCATATGTAAATGGCCAACAGGTCGTGGATACATGCACATATTCCGATGGAAACCGTGTGTCGGAGTATAACATACAATACTCTAACAACAACGCTATTTCGAGTTCAGGTACATTTGTGATGGAATTGAAGAAAAATGATGAAGTGTGGTTACAAGTGTATCATCGGGAAGCGGAGTTCTTGCATTCCAAATATACTTACTTCACGGGACACAAAGTTTTATCACTGCCTTGAATATACCTGTATGGATGTGATATCGGCTGACCCATATCTTACACACACTAACATACCATCGGTTATCTAGAAAATTATGTCGTATGAGAACTTATCAGTGAATATTAAAAAGATTGGAGTCGCTCAAAACATCATTTGAATGTCTATACGATAAAGTATATTTTTTGGGAAAAATCTCTTCCTTACTTGTCCAGTTTTATTTGATTTATTCATTTGTTTGCTATTTATGTAAAACTCAAACAAAAAATTCGATTCATGGATAAATTGATACATAATTATTCTTTAAAGAAATTTAAATGGAAATGACATGAATAATAAATTTCAAAAAAGTTTTAATATATATACCTGTGTGTCGTTTTCTATGGAATATAACATTTTCCACGTATATTTGATATTATGACAAAATCCTACAAAATTCTTCCACTTACCCTGGAAAATATTATTCTGGGTATATTTTTTTTTTTTATAATTCTGTAGAAAGTTTGTGTTATTTTTAAGAAATATTTTTGAAATAAACAACAATATTAAAAAGGTCTCTGGGAAATGAACTTTAAGTTGGTCACGTAATCAAATCCTGTGAAGCCCAAAGGGCTTCTCAGTAGATTTTATCACGTACCAACTAAAAGTTCATTTCCCAGTGAACTTTTTATAATTGTTGTTTATTACTTATATTCACATTTGAGACGAACAAATTTTTAGGTGAAATTGTATTTATTACACGAACGGGCCGCCGTATTGCAATGTTAATGTTGTGACGCGCAATGACCTAAAGTCGTTTGGTCAAAGTAAGTTGACCTCGCTCCAACATTTGAATGTTTACATTCATGTTTAGCAGTCCAGTTCAGGAAATATCTGTATATAGTGCACTATATACAGATATTTCCTGCACTTGACTGCTAAACATGAATGTATACATTCAAATGTTGGAGCGAGGTCAACTAACTTAGACCAAACGATTTCAAGGTCATTGCGCGCGAAAGAACAATGATCGGCTAAGAGTAATCTAACTCTTTCATAAGTTCTTACAATATCTGAAGTCAAAAGCGGTGGTATCGCCTGTTTTAGTTTACATAAATCCAAAGGAATTTTATATTAAAAAGAAAAGTTTTAGGCTAATCATAGTATGCAAAACGTACCTTATTCACATCGAAAGAATGTTTAATGTATCTCGTGATTGAAAATTATCCATATTGTATATCGTTTTATATTTTTCATTGTTATTAACTTAGAAATGTTCCAAAACAAGTTGCACCGTGTCAGAGATATGTAAACAAAATATTACCTCGCTCTGTGATTCGGTCGCGCTATGACACTACCTCTAACCCCCAAATAATATTCACAGAATTGAACATATGTTCTCTTCAATAGGTTTATCTAAGAAAGATTTTTGGACAGGTAAATATTTGATAATGACCACAATAATCTTTAAAATCTGACTGTGGTGTTTAGGAAGATGCAATTATGTCCACTCTCTTTTCAACATTTCATTAATTTTATCTGTTGATTAACTTAAAATTGTCAAATTTATGAAATCTCTGGAAATTTTCTTCTATATGATGATATAGATAGTTTTCAGTAGACCCAAATTAACAAGAGTTATATCCCGTTGGCCACCATTTTGAAGGTCAACATGCTCATATTCCTTCATTATTAAACCAACTTTTAACTTTTTATAGTGGCAGTTGTGGGGTGGTAAGCATTGTTTTTCTTGAAAATATATATTTGTTAGAGACTCTTTTATTTCATAATTTTTATTCCACAAAGATTTCCCACCAAACATTTCTGCTACAATGTCTTATATTTTGTAGGAGAAAGAAGGAAAATTATCAGGTTGACCAACAAGATGGCGGCTAAGGGAAAATAACTCTTGTTTATGTGGGTCTACTGAAAACTATCTACATTTTTGTGTTATTATTTGAAGGTAAAACTGGACTTCAGAATTGATTAAATATTCTTGAAATGTATTTTCCAATATTGGAATGTAAAGTGTTTGTTTTATTTCTCGACAATACAACTGAATGTATATTAGAAAACATCTTATAATTACGTTTATCATTATTTAACATATAAATGCAATTATTAGGAATCAATTTATTGGATATGCTGGGGACATTAAATATAGGTATTTCCAACTGTCTTTAAATTTTTTGATTTATTTTTGATATCATGTGATTCCATCTCCTAAATTCTCGTGTTCTCGTGTTTACTGTATGTGATCAAAGGAAAGGTTGTGAATATACATCTACATAATATGTACATGTACATATACATAAGTCTAAACATTTCATCAGTTGTTTCCTCAAGCACTTTATAAAGGTACATGGTGTAAACTTTGTGACCGCAACGTGGAGTGATAGTTTTTCCATCATCATTTCTTCTCTAGTCTTTTTTCGAAATTCCTTTAAAATTGTTTGCATAATTTTGCATGCTAAAGCTTTGTTTCTTTCTAAGGTTGTCTTTGTTTTTACAGACCGACACTTCTTTCTCCTCTTTTAATCCATACCATGATTTAACCATTCAGAAAATGCTTGTTCAGAAGAATCTGATTCTATGAAGCTTAACAATTCATAGTTCTCATCATAGATTAATGTACAAAAGAAAAAAAAAAACAAATATCAGCGTGGATCCATTGCACTCAAAGATCAATAGAAATACTTGCGTTTAAATACAAAAAAAATATTGCATTTAAACTCAATATTATTGCGATTAAAGGCAATAATTATTGTGATTAAACGCAAAAAATATTATTGCGTTTAAACGCAATAATTATTGCGTTTAAACGCAATAATTATTGCGTTTAATCGCCATATTATTGCGTTTAATCGCAATCTTTTGCGATTAAACGCAAAGTGTTTTGCGTTTAAACGCAATGATTATTGCGATTAAACACAAAGTTTTGCGATTAAACGCAATAAAAAAATATTTCAGTCCCTGGACTGGCCTCAACGAGCTTCTGTATATATGAGCTATTCAATATTTATGAGAAGAAAACATTAAATTCTTTTATATTATTCATGTTATTCTTAAATAAATTATTTACTTTTTATAATTATTCAGCACATAGCTAAAACAGACTATAGTCTACCTGTAGTTTCTTTCCTTTATGCTCCACCTGCACCACATTCAAACTAAGCCAACACAGAATTACCTATGTTTAACCTGTATTTTTTCAAAATGTTGGCTAAGTGGGAAGACACCGTAGTAATATTTACTGGAATGAACACTTGTAGGAAAAGTTTCACGGTGATATTGAATTTATCAAGCAACTAAAAAGCTAGGTAGGTTTGTATCTGCTGTTTCAAAATGTAAACTGTCCAGTAATTTACTTTTCGTACATATTGTTGAATATATGTTCACTTATTCTGTTTTAAGTAAATTGAACATTCAAGAACATGTGATATATATAGGATCTCCCATGGTTTGTGGTTTGATATGATTTTTATCCAACGAGTTGTGTGTTTTCTATCCCCGAGCCTTGGCGAGGGGATAGAAAACACACAACGAGTTGGATAAAAATCATATCAAACCACAAACCATGGGAGATTCTTTTTATTACATATCTTTGTTCACTATAAATGTGTACTTTGTCTTTATTTCTAATTCAAAGTTCCCTTTCGGTTACCTCGGACCAAATAACGTAATAAATAATATTACGCTGTATGAAATATTTCGTACAAAAATAAAAGAAAGAAAGTATTTCTGCACTTATTTTTTTTTATTCCCGAATGAAGACTTGTTAAAATATATCAAATAATATGAAATTTGACAAATTAAGTCATTCTCTCCATCATGCACATGTATTTGTTTATTTACATTACGTCACGTGGCGTAGGAATACATAGCGTTGATACGAAAACGATATCACATGAGCTATATCAACGGGATAAAGGGGAAAATATGTGATAAAATTGTTTATCATAATTCATAAAAATGATAACATAATATAAAAAAAGCAATTGATCAATAGGGGAAAATTAAATTAAGTGTAAACTCGCAAAGGTATGTTTTACCAATGCACAAATAAATCATCGTAGTTTGTATTTATCAAATCTGGTTTTATTGACTTGAACAGCTGGTAAATGGCTATAAAAAATCGATGCGCGTGACAATTACAATGGTTTTAAATTTGGATCAAAGTTGTTATCAAAATCTTCAAATGAAAATGCATTTTTTTAAAATACAATTTATTATATTTTAAGGTCATGTCGACCTTTGATAAAGATTTTGGTATTATTACAATTAATATTTTAACCTCTCTTTTTTCCTGAAATTTGTTTATTTTCAGATAAGGCATTAACTGGTCAATTAATATTTTCTTCCATTGTAGGGTCGATGCAAATAAAATCTTCAAATGAAAGGACATTTTCTTTAATACAATTTAATTTATTTTAAGGTCATGTCGACCTTTGATAAAGATTTTGGTATTATTACAATCAATGTTTTAATCCCTGTTTGATTATTGTTTTTGTCTGAAAATGCTTTTCTTTCAGATAAGGCATTTACTGGGGAATGTCTCGCAAATACTACAACCATTGTAGGGCCGGTGCAAATAAAGCATTTTAAAAATTCTGTGGTCCCTTACTTTACAGAAAGAAAAGTCCTTATGTTGTGTGAAAAGGTCATTTGAACATACACTTAACAAAAATTCTAAAAATTCACTCTAATAAATGTATTTATTTAAAAACTAAATGATAGAAAAGTATGATATTTTCAAATTATTATATTAACCAATGAAGTCTTCTCAACAATTTTTTAAAGAAAATAAAATTTCACCGAGGAAAACCAATTAATGTACCGTGGCCAAGCTTTACAACAATAGATACTTTGCCACACAGGTTTTCCGTATAATCAGCATCTTTTTGTGACAATAATCAATTTTTAGAAACAGGTTTAAGGAAAAAAAAAAAGAAAGAAAGAAAGAAAGAAAGAAAGACACAAAACGAGAGCAAAATGACCATTGAAAAGGGGAGGAAATCCGTGAAATGTTGATATTTGGATCATTCTTGTGACACGTTTTACTCATTTTTGTTTTATTGTCACCCGCATTCGTGAAAGCGAGGGGAAATTAAATCTTATTCCTCTGTCCGTCCGTCACAAAAACTTTAATCTTGCCCATAACTTTTGATTAAGTGGAGCTATGACTTTTATATTTCACATGTGTATTTCTTGTGACAAGACCTTTCTTTGGGTACCAGCAAATTTAACCTTCTGACTTTGACCTTGTAGTTTGACCCACTTTTACACAAAAACTCTTACTTTGCTTACTTTGGTCACAAC